GTGTGTGTGTGTGTGTGTGTGTGTGTGTGTGTGTGTGTGTGTGTGTGTGTGTATTAGGGGGTGGGGTTTAAGCGTGGAGGAGAATTATTCTGAATGCTTGTGTCTATAGCTTCTGATGTGAATATTGAGTCAACAAGGCCGTCAGACAGTCTGAACATCTGTCTAATTGATTTTGAATGTCGAGTAGAATAAGGCGAGTGTGTGTGGCTGAGAGTACAAGTGAAAGTCCCAGTGCGTGCAGCGACGCAGGGTGTCTTTGATCAGCAATTCACATAAACACCCTCTTGTGTTCAAAGCCTTAACGGCTTAGTGCTTTACAGCCAGAGGAGTTCATATATGTGCATGTTATCGTTGGCACATCACAGGAGCAGAACTGATATTTGGTTGAGTCATGGCAAAAAACAGGTTCATGTTTTTGAGAAGGAAATAGGTTAAACTCAACAAATGGTATTTCTTTGTTAGATACGATGTTCTCACCAGTTTTTGATGGTGAAAAGGCCTCCAAATGTTGTTATAACCAACATCAGAGGATGAGTTTAATTCAGAAAACATTCAGGTAGTTGTATCGGTCAAAGGCCGAGAAGAACCAAACCTTAAAGACATGTCAAAAAARTATTGAGTTGGTCCTCTGGATGGGTTCTTAAATGTTGAAACGTTTTGTTTCTTCTCCGAGAGACCTCTTCAGTCTGAAGAGTTACAGGTCAGCTTAGCCTTATTAGCAGTACATATAAAGCCCCTCTTACAAATCATGCTGTTATTACGAGTTTGACTCAGCCCTCTGTGAACAGAAGGCAACAATCAGGACACCGGCCATCAGTCTTTAAGGAGATGGTCCTCTTTTGCATGCAAAACATTTAAACTAAGAAGAACCCATCCAGAGGACCTACTCAATTTTATTAAGATTGTATCAGGTAATTTGAAGACAGATGATCATAAATTATTTCCTATGATGTCGATATCTGTCTTGCCCAAAAAAATCTTCCAAAAGTGCCAAATAATAGATCTATGATGACTCCATCAGTTTCCAAATATACAAAGCTGTACCAGTTTTATTATGTTCTTCATCCATCCATCCATTTTCTGTACACGCTTCTTCCTTTTCAGGGTCGCRTGGGTCACTGGTGCCCATTTATTATTTTAATTATCATTTACTTGTGTTCAAGTTTTTCCTCATTTATATGATATTAAAACTTAAACTACAGTCAACTTTTGCTTGATTAGGTTGTTAAACAAAGACAGCTCAACTGGTGCGAAAAAGTATTTTACTCAAAAAATACTTTTTAGCTTTTAAATTGCATCATAAATAATTTTGAAATTGAAGGGCTACTGGGGAAAAAAAAGGTTTCGGCTTAAATTTTGTTGGGAGTACCAAAAGCTTACCAYGGGAATTTATATATGTTTTCACCTGGTTTAGTTGCAGAGTTTTCTTACAGTATTTTCCCTATTAGAGGGATGAATCTGGTGAGAAGATTAAAAAGTCCCATTGGGAAGTCAATTTTTTATGCAATATGCAAAAAAAATCTCACCCCATGTCCAACGCATTTATCATGGGTTTGATTTTGACATTATTGAAAATGTAAACACAGTGCTACTGAAKGGAATTTGTGATGAATTTGGTTTGAATAATATAGCAGMAAACCAGTTGAATCTCTTCWAAAAMCCTTTATTCTTGTCTCCAATCAGCTCCACCAGCACTTAGMAGGCCTCAGAGTAAAATGACCTTCGTCTTATCTGAATATAAAAAAACAAAGCCCTGACTGTCCCAGACTGCACACCAGAACTAACTAAAACCCCTGCCTATATAATGATGATTCAACTTTTTAACAYRTGTCTCTTCCTGGTTACACCCCTCACTGTAGTAACTACTTACATCACACATTAGCRTAATTTCCTTCACTACCAAAATAGTTCATTATCTGAACTTGTGCAGTTATTTGGAATAATGCAAAAAATATATTTTTCAGTAGAGTTGTGTGCTTCAAAAGAAAGATAAATTGTCTCAAGATACTTAGGGCCTCCAAAAAGTTTTCAGGCAGGTGTAATGCCCTGGAAGAGCGTTACTCACACACACACGGACACACGCACACACACACACTGTGCCTCTCATTAGTGATTGTGTGTATGCGCGGCCTCGGTGGCACATAATAAGGGCATGCAATGCTCAGCAGACTGCAACATTAGTCATGCAGCCCCCTGCATGCACATTCGGACTCGAATGCAGTAAAAGCACTGAATCACCACTACCACGGCTTATCACAACGATGAGAGCAGAGATAAGATTTTCAGAGGTGCAGTGAAAGAAAGTGGGAAGAGGCAGAGACCTGGATATCTGCTTGTGCCAGAAAGAAAGCCCGAGTTAGCCAAGTGGGCAGGTGTTCCGTTTGTTTGTATGATTGAGACACTTCGGCCTGTTTTAGGCTGAAATGCATCAGCTGAACTCGCAAATGACAAGTCACAATTTGAGCAATACGTTGTAATAATTGGAAGGACCGCCTCGAGGCTCTAATCAGTCTCTCAGGAATTTTACTTTTTCCCCGAAATAAATTGTTTTGTGCAGAAAGTGCAGCAGTWTGCAATTTTAACAAGTCGCCACTGCACAAATATATGATTTCCAGAGCCTCATGAAAACATGACAAGGACAGAAGCTTTAATCCAATAAATCCGTTGACATCCAATTATCTGATTGTTTCACTTTTAGTTAAACAAACATATGAATAATTCATAAAATCAGCCCCTGCCTGCAGCACCTGACATGAATACGTTYTTGATCTTTCTCTGCTTTACACGTCCACGAACACTTTCAAAAGCAAATCAACACAAAAAAAATCACAAATATACACCAGTCAGGTGTGTGAGTTTACATGTTGCAAGGACAGAGAACAGAAATGCGAGTCCAGTTAGAAAATATGCATCGTAATTTTTATTGTGCTTTTAAGTGAAAAATGATTCTTGGCACCTTTTAGATTTCCAGTTTTTTTTATATTGCTAATATTTTAGATTTACTCATCATCTGGGCATTCACACACACACACACACACACACACACACACACACACACACACACACACACACACACACACACATATAAGTGATTCCACACATTAAATCTCTTGTCCTCTGTTTTACAATCTTTAATTGGACTTTTGGTGTAAAAAAGCCCAGAGCACTTCATAAATAAATTTGCCYGAGTTTGTCTTGATATGAGGGTTTAAGTGGCTGGTAGAAGCTGACAGACTAATAGACAAAAACAAAGTGAGGGCGAGCTAATTGCTTACTTTGTTTTTGAAAGCCAATAATCTGAAGCCATTCTAACAACTCCCTGTCTACGCCCGGTTCCCCACTCACCCACACTGCCTCTATCAGCCGCCGCCGCTCGACTATCTGCCTCCGTCTCAAGCAGTGGAACGTGTTTGCCCTAATTGTCGACTTTATTACACGTTTCGCCGTCTTATTAACGCCACCACAACGTCAGTCTTAACTGAAGTCGGTTTCTTTTCCACTCGGCTTGGCATATTTGGAGGCTCAGTAATAAAGCATTTCTGCGTGCCCCCTCTGATAGAGGGAGAAGCGAGCGTGTAGCTTTTTAACACGTGTTCACTTTGAAAACAATAGCGTTTTTTTGCATTTTGCATAATTTGAATATATTTTCTGGCTCGAGATTTTGTTGAAAGTCAAGTTAATTGCCTCCTTTTTGTCTATCTCATGAGTGAGGGGGAGAATGAATGTGTGTCAGTGTGTGTGTGTGTGTTTTTAGAGGGATTCAAACAGACAAATCACAATGCAGCTTACATACCAACTTCTGCCAGATTATTCTATAACCTGTCTGTAGGTGGCTGTGCAAACGTGCAAACCTACGCACAAGATATTTTGTAAAATCTGTCTTTTTGTGCAAAATATTTTATTTATCCTTTTACGGCTTTAAATTTGCAGTGTTTAAATTGATCAAATTATGCATTTTATTGTTTTTTTTGCATGAGCTTGCTTTCTTATTTTTGTGCTGTTAATATTCTAAATACAGTCCAAGAGGTAACGTAAAGTTCTGATCATTTGTAATACATTAACACAACACGCACCCACTTCTCTGGACTGACAGCAGATTGGTGTCCTGTCTGACAGAATAATGCAGAAGAGCTGCGAGCAGAACGTCTGCGCAGAGCCACGGAGAAGCTGCGCAGTCCGGTCGTCTTCAACAAGGATTCTGCAGTGAGGAAAACGCAGCTTAAGTCCTTCAGCCAGTATGTTGAAAACAGACCAGGTGAGGACAACGCAACACAAACACACACGATTCATGCAGTGTTTACCGAAGGAGGCCTGTTTACTGTCCACTCAGAGTTCACTACTGAGGCCTTTTAAAGACTTTKTGAAGTGTTGTTAGTTTTAAGAACTGCTGTAAATGACTTTTCTCTAACAGCTGATGTAATCATTAAGAAATGATTAACAACTCTTACTTGCCGTCCATAAGAGTCAAATGTGAAAAAACTGCAGTTTTCATCYCAAATAAAGGGCAGGTCTCTCTGAGAATTGAAGTTTTCCTGCAAATATTAGACTTGGTTTAACGATGCAAATGTTGTTTCATACACTTTAGAGGTGAAGCGTCAAAAATCTGTTCCTGAAGATCTAAAAAAGGTTGACGAGGACAGAGGTTCTCCAACAGAAGYAGACCTCCGTAAACCATTTGAAGAAGAGGTTTGTTTCTTTTTTTTGTTATTTCTTTTGGCTAATTGGGTAAAAAGCATGGGGAGAATTTGTTTTCAGTTGACTGAAACACATTAAAATGAGCAAGAACTTTGTGCAGTGGAACTCTTGAATCACCTGGGAATTAGACTAAATTGTTAGTTTAGTTTGTGTACAGCCTCTGGACTTAGACCTTTGGATTACAGGAGAGACATTGCACCTTTTTAACTTCTCCTGTTTTTATTTATTTATTTATTTGGTTTCTGTTTGCCCTGATTTGACAAGTTTTCCTCTCTCTGCTCCTCCTATGTCTACATTTCCCTCAGAGCTTCCCACAGTCTTCCTTAACTTCTGTCTTGTCCACAAAGACGTCTCAGTATTGATCTAAGAGACTGTCATGTTAATTATAACAGTGGCAGAAATCAGCTGCCGTTTAGAGGTTTGTGTGTGTTGCTTTGTGCAGAACTTACGTGCTTTCGTGTCCTTCAAGTGTGCCACACACACTCCATGTCTTCTCAGTCTGTGCGTACAAAGAGTGTGTTTATGTGAACACCATTATTTCAGCCAAGGGAGTGTTTGAGGATGTGTGTCACCAGAGACAACGAGGTGAATCTCTTTTCCCAAGCAGCCCTCTACTGCCCTCGACCCTCCACCTCGTCACACACACACACACACACACACACACACACACACACACACACACA